TAATTCATACAAAAAGACTCATAAATGCAAATGCAACATAGACTCAATGCATGTGATACCAATCATCACAACGCGATGGACACTGGGCCATCAACCCTCCATAGATCCCCATCAATAGGATCGATTCTACTTGAGAACCGGAGCACATCAAAATACTTCACATCCACACAATGGGATTGAAGTCAAAGTAATCGAGGTCCTGAACCGAAGTCCGGATGCACATGAATGCATGATGCACACGTCATAAATCATCCTCATAATAACATCATAGGTGGCATCATCATTCATCATACTCATCATCATCAAACGTCATAGCTCATCATCATAATCATCATCATACGTCATGTCATCATAACTCATCATAGTAATCCTCTTCATACATCATGTCATCATATCACATCATAATAATCATCATACATCACGTCATCGTAATTCATCATAATAATCATCATCATACATCATAGAAAATCATCATATAATCATGTACAAATCACATAGCGCTCACAATCATACTCATATCAATTCATCATATTATCACATATTATCACATATTATTTCATAATTATACTCGCGGTAATCCTCATACTATCGCTTATTAATCACATAAACCTCACTGTCATACTCATGTTAACTCCTTGCAAAAATCACAGAATCAAACATCAAGGCATCGTTGCACACGATCAACATACGCGAAACTCTGCTACGTTCGCTGGCATGTTCGCTAGGCGAGTCTGGAGAGAGTTTCTTTGCTAGGCGAGTCTGGGAACAATATTATTTGCTAGGTGAGTCTGGGAACAACATTATTCGCTAGACGAAGCTTTCTTCGCTAGGCGAACTGCGCGATGACAGCAAATTTTGCTACGCACCAGAACTCAAAATCACTCAAAAAGCTCTACGATCCACTTACCCAATGCCCCCAAAACATCCCAAAATTATCCCTAAGGTCCTACGACAATAAAGTCACGAAACTTACGGTTTATCAGGCCAATCCCAAAACATATTCACACCCTAAATCACAATTTTTCCTTCAATTACACCCTAAGGCATTAGAGTTACTCGTTATCCAATATTCTTAAGGGTTAAGCAAAGTTCAATCACCTTTTTGGCCACGAAGGCCTAGGTTTCCATTTTTCCCAATTGAACCACGGTTAGATTTACCTATAATCGGTTTAGGCCACGAAGGCCAAAGATCACTATTTCTCATATCTATGCTCTACTGTCATGAATACTTACCACCACACCACAACATTGGAGTTCTCAAAACTAGATTTAGGCCACGAAGGCCAAAAATCCATTTTTCTCATAACTCTCCATAAAACCCTTAAGCCCTTAAATCAACCATAATCACATCGAAAGTTACAAAAAGTTATACTCCTCCTACCTTAATTGTCGATCGAAGCCTTCTCAATCTTTCAGGGAACCTCTCGAAGCCTCTGCCTCCAATCTTCTCCTCAGAGCTCTGACCTGAATACTTTTCACGGTTAACCAAAATGAATTCTAATTCCCTTCAGAATTCCTTTTTTGTCAAACCTAGTCTTGAGCCACACAATTGGCCTTTTCCCATAACACCCTTACTAACTCCTCTTAATGCCCAAATTATCCTTATTTCACTTATATTTATTTTAACTAATAATAATAATACTAATATTTTCATATTGTATACTATTAATTAAATAAATAATCCAAAAATGCATAATTCCGAATAATCCACAAAACCACCGAAAACCACCAAAATACGACTATTCTCAATTAAATAAATTAATTAAAATATTCCAATTAAATTTGGAGTGTTACAGTATGCAATGCACAACATCAACCAAGTTGAGTTCCACCTTGTCTTAGTATCCAACACTTGCATTCTGCCTTCAAGTTGCAACTCATCAATAAATTTTTTGAATGCTTTGCATCTAGTTTCAGAATTCAGCAAGTATTTGACCCCATTTCTAATCTTATAAATAGTCACCTTAATCATATTAAGACCATCATGAACCAACAAATTTAAGATGTGCGCACAACATCTCACATGAAACAGTTTACCATCCAATGGTCGATTTCTTCTATCAGAATAATCTTTCTTCAGTCTAGCAATGCAATTATCATTGGCACTAGCATTATCAACTGAAATTGAATCAACCTTGTCCCTTATGCCTCAATCATACACGACCTTAATCAATTACCTACACAAAACCTCGCCAGAATATGATGGTGACACATTCTTAAAAGATAAAACTCTTTTGTGAAACTGCCATTTTGAATCAATGAAATGACCAGTCACAATTATATAACCAATTTTCAGTTCACCAGACCAGCACAGGTCAGTTGTAAGACTGATCCTGTTAATCAAAGACATAGACTTTTTCATCTTAACTCTCTCAGCCTCATAAAATGTCTCACAATCAAACTTAACCTATTGTCTAGTAATCTTTTTGTACCATGGATAAATTTCTCTAAGAAACTCATTAAAGATAACACCTTCCATAACAGAAAAAAGAAATTCATGACCTAGAATCGTACGAGTTGCAACCTCTCTAACCCTACCATGATTATATGTCCAAGTTGCCAAACTAGGAGTACTATCACCACCTATATTTAACCTAGATTGTGCAACCTCTTTGTCAGTATTACCTTTCAACATCAACTTTCTCTGAATGCAATTTTCTAAATGTTTCTTACCATTAGAAGTACTTTTCTATTTCACATCATAAGTGTAAAGCTTGCCACACCATATGCATTTCCACTTTTTCGTACCATCAGGCATTTCAATAAGTACCATTTCAGTATGAACAACAAATTTCTTGGGACGAGGAGCTTTACCAAAGGCATTTATCTGGCTATGAGAACTATGATATGGGTCAACTAGTCAGCAGTAGTAGTATTTTGAGTAGTGTTGTCAGTTGGAAGTTGAAAGTGGAACTGGGAGTTCCAAATCAATCATCTCACCAATCTCTATATTTTCTCCATCCATTGTCTCCCCAGTCCCATCAAGCAACATGTTAATATCAATAAGATCACCCATGGTTGGAGTCAATGAAGAATCTTGAAAAGACATGGCATAAAATTCAATATCAATCAAATAATAATATAATGTAATACGAAATATGAACTGAGTAACACAATACAACCTATTTATTAAGAACAAAAAACAAACAATTATTATTAGGCCAAAATACAACCCCGACAACACAAATTACACAATACAACTTCAATTCAAAATCCTAGGCCGAACCCTAATGAAGAACAAAACTCAGCCACAAAATCAAATACTCAAATATTTTTTATCAAAACTCAAGCAATATAAACAACAGATCAAATACTCAAACAATTTAGGTCAAAATTTTGTTCAAAATTGAAACAGGGTCACGAACGAATCCAAAATCCCAACATTTTATGTCAAAATTTAGGTCAAAATTGATACCAAGTAAAAAACTATTCAACAACTCAAACATGCAAACATTGTAAACAATATTATAACAGAAATGAGAAAGAATAAAGTTTGGATACATTACGCAATTGTTGTAGCCTTGAACAATTCACACTAAGCGTCTAACAAAAATGATTCAAACATATAACATTCATGAAAGTAAATATTGTGGCTTGATTGGAAGGAAGACGGGGTCCTAGGGAAGAGAGACGGAATGGGAGAGGAAGAGTGTGAGAGATGAGAGAGAGTGACTGAAAGGAGAGAGGAAAAAACTGAGGAAATGAATTTTTTTTAGAATTTATATCAAGGTTTACCGGGTACGCGTTAGATAATTGGTCTGGTTCTTCAGTCTGGATACGAATTAAAATTATATTCATTATTAGATCAAGAGACGTTTCGATCGATCCAATAATCCAGTTCTAATGGACTGATTCTCGAGTGATTTTTCGGTTCCATAGGTTCAAAAACAACCCTATATGCATGACACATTTTAAATCTTCTCCGATGTATATGTATATGCCTTAAAGCATAGATGAAACTAGAAATAAAAGATGAAGTGATGACATGGTTCACTTAGAATTTTTACAAGGGAAATATATCCCTGCAATTTTAAAATCAGATAGGAAATCCTCTTAAAGTATGACAAACTTTTTAAATTTTTTATGAATGTGTTTGTTTTAAAATTTAAAATTTCAATCCTCAAACACTAAAAAAAATAAAGAATTTAAAGAAATAGAAGACACAAATTATTACAAAAATATAAGATTTTCATTTGATTCCATAAGAATAAAATATGAAAAACTAAATATAAATTAAACTCTAAAAATAGAAATTCTAACACATAGTAAATTTATAAGGATTTAATGGATGTACGACATAAATACTTGAAATAAGCATAAAAATACAAAATAAAATTAATTTCATATTTTTTAAAATAAATTTAAACTTCATGAAACAAACTATTCTAAAACATTAATTGTACTGAAATTTTGATTATCATATTAATTACTTAAAAAAAACAGAACTTTGTAATTAAAATATAATTTCTTTTTAAAATAAAATTATGAAAATAAAACAGCTCTTACAATCATGAAATTATCTTTAATTATTTATTTATTTTTTTAATTTTCAAAATGAAAATTCTTATTTTTACTTTTTTTTTCAAAGATAAAAATTGTGATTCAAACAAACATTGTATATATAAATCTTCAATATTCTAATTTACAAACACCAAAACAAACCACTCGTAGAAGAGGAAAAGAGATCTCAACAAAAATATCTTTCTCAAATCTCAAGGCAAGTTCTTCTCCATTTTCCTTCTTCATCATTTCTCATTATTCCCAAATTGAAACGCTATTATGGATCTACTCATTTTCCATGTTTCTTCATCTCGGATTTCTCCGATCTGAATCATAGTTTACGATTTGATCTCACCCTTGCTCGATCCGTTGATCCAGTCTTCATATCGTGATTTTGATTTTGATTTTGATTCTCTTTTCGTTTTTCAGCATTGCATTGAAATTAGGGTTGACGTTTGTGTTTGAAATTGAAAATTGAAATTGATTCAGGATAGTTGAAAATGGGGTTGTCATTCACGAAGCTTTTTAGCCGGTTGTTTGCGAAGAAGGAGATGAGGATACTTATGGTGGGTCTCGATGCGGCTGGTAAGACCACCATTCTCTACAAGCTCAAACTTGGAGAAATTGTCACCACCATTCCCACCATCGGTGAGTTTTACATTACAATTCCTATTTAGATAATGTCAATGTTGTTCTTTTCAATATCTTTTATCAAGGGGTGCAAATTTTGATAATTTACATCATCTTGTGTAGGGTTCAATGTGGAAACGGTTGAATATAAGAACATCAGTTTTACTGTCTGGGATGTTGGAGGCCAGGACAAGGTATTTCTATATATAATGTGTGTGTTTTGGTTTATATGAAATTAGGGATTCAAACTCGAGTCACCATATTTCCCCTCCACTTTTGTGTTTGTTTGAGTATGTGTTGGCCACTAGGCCAATAGCAACAAAAAACAGAAGATGTTTCATGCAGTTGCGTTCTACCACAAAATCCATGTTCAGTATATAACAGAAAATAGCTCTATAATTGACGCCAGCCGACTCACTCCCTGAGCAATGCAGGGAGTAGAACAGAGCTCTCTACAAATCGTGTAGTAGATGTACTCTCAACTAATAGGCCTTTTGATCTGTTTCTTCTTTTGACCTGTTTCTTGGGCCAATTTTGGATACCCCTTGCAATTTCATTATTCATAGACATTGTACCCACTGGATCACCATCCTATTTCTCATTTCACCCGTACCTCACATTTAGAGAACTGTTTGGGTTCTTAAGCCTTTCTTGCTATCTGTTTCATTCCTAGTTCTAGAGAAAATCTAAATCCCATGATTGGTAGTCCTAGGTTGTGAAACAATAATTTCTTGTTGCTTGTTTTCTTTCTTAGGTTTTTTATTTTATTTTATTAAAAGAGAAAGAAAAGAAAAGTGATTATTTTTCAAAAATGATTTGTTATGCTGTTACCAAACATACTAGAATGTACTCCTTAGTCCTTACACCTCTCCATTTCAATAACGTATGAGCCAAGATGCATACCTTGTTTGGAGATGCATGTGATTGATTGTGCAATGATGTTTATTCAAATAGAATTGTACTGTCTGTTTGTACGTTTATCAATTTTATAAACCATAGTGCTTAGGTTTGATCTACTGTAGTGATTATCAGTTATTAGTACTAGTGACGTCACATGATTTGCTAAAACTGGGGAAGCTTTAATCCTTATGCTCAATGCATGTCAAAATTTAATCCTGAACAAATTTTACACAGGCATCTTCTACTCTTCTGTTAATGAATATTGCCTGGGTTCAATACTGTAGCTAGTCTCAGCCTATTGCTAACATGGATTGGCTATTTGGCTTAAATCACCTTACATTTGAATCTGAAATATTTAAAAACCATAGTGACTATTGACATGCTTTTTTTACTAGATTCGTCCTCTGTGGAGACATTACTTCCAAAATACGCAAGGGCTTATTTTTGTGGTTGATAGCAATGACCGAGATCGTGTTGTGGAAGCTAGGGATGAGCTGCACAGAATGTTAAACGAGGTAGTAAATATATCCTCAATGAATGAATATGAGAAATCGGCTCATTAAAGAGACTAACACTTATTTCTTATAGCTTGATTTTCTGATCTATTTTGTATGGTTATAATATTCTCAGGATGAGTTGAGAGATGCTGTGCTTCTAGTTTTTGCAAACAAACAAGATCTTCCAAATGCTATGAATGCTGCTGAAATAACCGATAAGCTTGGACTTCATTCACTTCGTCAGCGTCACTGGTAATCTGAATGCTATCAACTGTTGTTTGCTTGTCTCCTTAATCTCATCTCTCCCTGTTTTTATCCTATCCACCGACATCTATATGATCTATTCCTGCAGGTATATCCAGAGCACATGTGCTACCTCTGGTGAAGGACTTTATGAAGGACTTGACTGGCTCTCAAACAACATCGCAAACAAGGTTAATACAGAAAATTGTTTTCATGACTCCGCAATTTTAGTTACAGGTTGACAGATTTCTGATGTAAACTTTAACTAACTTTGTTATTATTTGTGTTGCAGGCATAGATATTGTTAGTCATGGCCTGTGTGAAGTTCAGATGAGTTTAGAGATTATGATTTCAGATGTTTCGATGTGGTTACCCTGTTTAGAATTTTACCCGCATTTGCATGTATTGTTTCATTTGTCTTTGAAAAAGAACAAACTTACCTAGGTTTAATATACATTTGCAATTTTTTCCATGTATAACCTAAAGTCTTTGTTTCACTCATTGATCTGTATGGTTAATTAAATAACTGAAAGTTTTTACATACACACTATATATTAGCTATAAAACAAGCAATTGGACTTTCCGTAATGTCAATGTGGTTTGTTTGATGCGAAATCCAGCTATGATGATTACATTTGCTGCATTTATATTTCAATGTGTTATTTTCAGAATGAAATTGTGGAGGCATGTTTAGTGGCTACTATTACACTACTAAACAAATTAATCGTCTGCTAATACCTTTTTTTGTGAATGGAAAAGTAAGCAGTTCATTTGCCTGAAATATATTTAGAGAGGCAAAATTGAATTTTCATTCCTGTTATTCACCCACGAGGATTATATCTTTAACAAATGACCTACTTGAATATATATATGTAAAATGTTTAATTAATGGAATGTAACTGGATTCTTTATGATTTCTAAACAAAAAATGTTTGTGGTTAAGCATTTGAACTTGTCAATAATTTTTAATTGAGTGTTGTTTTTTTTAATTGATCGCTTAAAATATATTGCTTCAATAAGCTTTTTCTTTTTTCAAACCCTTTTATATAGGTGATTGGCAATGATTGAGTTGTCTAACAGAATCTAAACAAACTCAACCAAAAAGGCATAACAAATTATACCAGAATGAAAACTAACTAGATATAACAAGTAGTAAACCTACTAAATTCTAATACTCCCCCACAAGGTCAAGGTGGTGGAAGAGAGGCTAAGTGGTCATTTGATTCTTAGATCTTGAAATGTGGCACTTAAGAGAGGCTAAGTGGTCATTTGATCCTTAGATCTTGAAATGTGGCACTTAAGAGAGGCTTTGTCATGATATCTGCTAGTTGAGCTGAGGTAGGTACATGTTGTATCTTTAATTTCTGAGCCATAACTCTTTCTCTGATAAAATGCAGATCCAGTTCAATATGTTTTGTTCTGGCATGAAGGATAGGATTATGAGAGAGCAGCACATCACTCAAATTATCACAGAGAAGAATAGGAGAGGAATACTTGATCTTAAGTTTAGCCAACAAGGATTCCAACCATAAGAGTTCAGAGGTTGTATGTGCTAGTGCTCTATATTTTACCTTTGCACTAAATCTAGCAACCAAGGTCTGTTTCTTAGAACTCCAAGGAATATGATTAGGGCCAATGAAGTGCAAGTTCCAGAAGTAAATCTTCTATCATCTGGATCATTTGCCCAGTCAGAGTCATTAAGGATACTTTTTACCATGCTCCAATGAGTGTCAATAGGGTTTGCCATAAACTGACATGCCTTATTTACAGAGTAAGCTATATCATGTCTTGTGAGGGTAATGTATTGTAAAGTCCCTACAACAGACCTGTACAAGAGAGGTTCATGCCTATAATCAATTCCAAACCTGCTAGGTATACATTGAATCAACATAGGTGAAGGTACTCCATTAGCTTCTTCCATGTTGACTCTAGATAACAAATCTTTGATATATTTAGTTTAAGTTAAGATAAGAGCTCCATTGGACTGATACTTAACTTCTAAACCAAGAAAATATTCATGTTTTCCAAGTTTCCTGTGAGAGAATTAATCATGTAGTTGACTGATAAGTTTGTGAATAAGAGAAGAAGAGGAACTTGTGATAAGGATGTCATCTACATATACAAGCACATAAAAAGTAATACCTTTGTGATTGTATGTGAACAATGAGTGATCACATCTACTTGCTATGAAACCAAAATGAAATAGAGTTTGATGAAGCTTTTCATACCAGGATCTGGGGTGCCTGCTTAAGGCCATACAAGGCTTTGTTCAGTTTGCAGATAAGAGCCTTGTTTTAATTTTCAAACCTGATGGCTGCTGCATATATATTTCTTCATGGAGAGAGCCATTGAGAAATACATTATTAATGTCTATTTGTTGAACTTCCCATTTGTATGTAAGAGCCAAAGTAAGAATGACCTTGATAGTAGCTAGCTTTATTACAGGGGAAAATGTTTCATGAAAGTCAAAGCCATATTGTTGGTTGAAGCCTTTGGCCACAAGCATGGCTTTGTGTTTACTCATGGTACCATCAGCATTTTCTTTAAGTTTAAAGACCTATCTACAACCTATGGCTTTTCTATGAGAGGGGAAGGTTATGAGTGTCCAAGTATTGTTGTTTATAAGTGCATTATACTCTTGTTACATAGCCTTAAACCATTGAGGTTGAGCCAGAGCTTATTTAGCAGTGGTAGGTTTACAAAGAGCCAAAAAGGTTTTAGGTTTAAGATGCCTTGTCTTACCTCCGGTAAGCATATCATGTCTATTAGAGGCCATAGATGGTGAAGGTTGTTTATCTTGAGAAGGAATTGATGAGGAGCAACCTGGTTTAGAACTAAGAATATTAGGTTGAGAGGACTCATTTCTGGGAGGAAATTGTGGATCATTTTATGTGACCTGAGTTGGAGAAGTGAAAGTGGGTGCAGACTCATTATGTATAGAGGTGTGAACAGGTTGAGGCTGATCTTGAGTACTAGTAGGGACTACCAAAGGTTGAACAGAACCCTGAGGTATGTGATGTGAGTTGTCATCAGGAATGTCAGCACTGATTTGGACATTTCCATCAGTAGGTAAGACAACAAGAGTAGGCAGTGTAGGTTGTGCAATAGTACTGTCATTGGTTAAAGAGTTGTGACTAGTAGATGTGACATGCTGAGCAGGCATAGAGGGTAAAGTAATAACAAGTGGAAGGGATTTAAGTTGGCCTGATGTACTTGCCTGAACAGGTGGTGGGACCATGCTAAGATAAGAAAATTTAGACTCATTGAAAATAACATATTTTGAGATGTAGATATGGCCATCCTTGCTAAGACACTTATACCCTTTATGTTGAGGAGAAATGCCAAGGTATACACACTCAAAACTTCTTAACTGCAGCTTGTTTTTATTATAGGGTCTTAAATGAGGAAAACAAGAGCATCAAAAGGTTCTAAGTGTGGTGCAGTCAGGTATAGAATTAAAGAAGGCATGAAAGGGAGATGAATTTAGGCAAGGTTGGTGTAGGTAGTATGTTAATAAGATGGACAGCTGCAGTAAAGCTATGATCCCAAAACTCCATAGGAATATGAGCATGAGCAATAAGGGTTAATCCTATTTCCACAATATTTTTGTGCTTTCTCTCTACAGTTCCATTTTGGTGAGAGGTGTGGGACATGTGAGCCTATGTATTATACCCAACTCATTAAGATACCTAGTGAAAGGCCTGAACTCCCCACCAAAATCAGATTCCACAACTTTAATTTTTAGTATCAAATTGTGTTTGAACACACTTAATGCCTCATACTTGTTTTTTAAAAAAATACACCCAATATATTTAGTATACACATCAACAAAGGCTATATAATGAGATTAACCTTGACTAGACAAATTTAGAGAAGGGTCCCACAAATCTGTATGAATAAGAGCAAAAGTGCTAGTATATATAGTAGATGTTAATGGTGCAAAAAGTCTATGTGATTTGCCTAAACAACAAGACGAACAAAATTCAACAGATTCTTTATTGCTAACAGAAACATTACACAATTTAAGCACATTTTTGACAGACCATATCATTGACATGTCCTAGCCTATTATGCCAAAGAGAAAATTTATTGGTACAAGACTTAGAGTCATTATTGACGTGATTAGGAAGAGACATACTGGCAGAGTTAGCAGTTGGTTTCAAAGGTGACCAAAGATAGACTATGAAAGCAATACAGTCCACTAGCATCAAGGAACCCCTCTAAAATCACTTCCTTAGATGTCTGGGATTTAACAAAACATCTGTTAGAGTGAAACTCAAAGAAAAAATTGTTATCTCTAGCAAACTTGGAAACATAAATGAGATTACAAGTTATGCTAGGTACATGAAGAAGATTGCCTAATGTTAACAAAGAATTACACAGATTTTAAGGCTTAATCTTTGCTAATCCCGTTGATTTAATCTTTAAACCTTGACCATTGCCTACAAGAAATTCATTAGATCCTACATATAGTCGTATATGTTGCAAATTATAATTATGAGAAGTGAGGCGGTGAGATGCACCTGAGTCAGCAAACCATGCCCGTGACTCTAAATTAGCAGGCATGTTGAAGTCATCTTGATGAGCCAAGAAAGATGAGGCTTGTGTGGAGTTCCCAACTTGATTTTGTTGTTCCTCTTTGGACTGAGTGGCCTGAGCAGTTGAATTTGCTGATGCAGGATCAAACGACTCATCATATATATGTCAACAATCTATGATTGAATGACCATACTTGCCACATATTTGACATGTGGGTCGATTTCCAGGTGTGTAACATGAGCTCTGCCACGAACCCTTCCTTTAGAGTTGTTTACACGACCTCTTGATTGTTGAGAACCACCTTTGGTGCTCTTGGAGTTTGTAGTTGCATCTGAATGAGCAAGACTGGTTATGGCAGTGGTAAGCGAGAGTTCTTGGTGATACTTGTCTAACTGAGCTTCTTGAACATAAAGAAGAACCTCAATGTCATAGGTTGTAGAGGGTTCTCCTTTTCGTAGGTCATCATCACGAATGAATTATACTCTTATGGTAAACCCTGGAGGATAACATCAAAGTCAGCACACATGCAGTTACAGTCTTCGATCGTCATAGACAAACATTCAGTATACAAGAAACAATAGACCATAATGAGGAAATACCCAATTTATCCTATGCTATCAGACTAAACAAATGTTCGTGTGATTGTGCTAAGTACCGGGCCTTCCATGTACCTTGCTCACATGTCATTGCGGCATGCGCACATACTCTTCAAAATGCTTATGGCTATCTATCTGATATTTACAAGACGATTAATGTTAT